ACAGACAAAAGGAAACGAGATAGACCCATAGTTCCTTTTGAGAATATGCATAGAATCACTTTCTGAGTCGATTTATGCATGTCCGTCCTTCTGTTGATGTTCAATTGTAAACAAAGTACAGGTCGCATTTATAATCCGATTTGGATGAAATTTGGCACAGCTCATTTATTTGGCCCAAGGACGAACCCTGTGTGCAATTTTCAATAATGAATTAAGTTATGAGGAATCATTCTTGAGGTATTTTCACCCATAATCGAAGAAAAAATTATAAATATTTTCCATATGTATAATTTTTATAAATTTTTAAATTTATTACCTACGTATTGATCTACGTACCGTGGTACTTGTGCCCATCCAAAAGTTAGCACTGCAATTCATTAAAAAATTGGACTATCTAGATGTAGGAACTCAAAATTATATATACATTAAAAGAATATATATTTAAGTCCATGTTTAAATGATAATCTATCTAAAATTATCATAGTAATTTCGTTATAGCTTTCGAATGGGCTAAGCTTTTTAATTTATTTTTTATATGCCCCTCTGCAATTTTTTGTGGCTTTAGAAAACATGGAGCCATTACAGCGCTAACTTTATATGAGTACGAATGTACCACGGTTATTGATCTATGTATCCTTTTTTGGTTATTAACCGTAGGGTTAAATATGAAAAAAATATTTCAAATCCAAATAGGTCTACCGGGTGGGGAATTCTTGCCATATTCTTTTCATGCTGTCAAATTTTTATCGCGAAATACCAACCAGAACAGGACAAAAACTCAAAATATATTAAAAAAAAGGAAATGATAGTTACGAGCAAGGTTTATTAATAAGGTTAACCGGCAGGCGAATTCATGCCTTATTCTTCTCTTGCTGTAAACTTTTTAATCGCGAAATACCAACCAGAACAAGATAAAAACTCAAAATATCTTTCAATAAAACGCAATGATAGTAATGTGCACGTATATTTTGGTTGGAATAAAAATATTTTTTGCTTATTTATTCTTCAAAGAATAAATTTGATAGACAATGAAGACTTCGAATTCGCCTCCTTGTTAACCTTATGAATAAACCTTGGTTACATATTACTATCATTACGTTTTTGGAAGATATTTTGAGTTTTTATCCTGTTCTGGTTTGTATTTCGAGATTTAAATTTTGACAGCAAGAGAAGACTAAGGCATGAATTCGCCTGCCGGTTAACCTTATTAATAAACCTTGCTTGTAACTATCATTTCCTTTTTTTAAATATATTTTGAGTTTTTGTCCAGTTCTGGTTGGTATTTCGCGATAACATGGATAGTAATGTGCATATATATTATCTCAAGTCTAAGTTTGTTTTTTATCACATTATTTTATTTTAAAATGAGCTGCGCTCAAACGAATTTCCTGGTAAAATATGCCTTGTATTTATTTATTTCAAAAAGTGTATGAAAAATGTTTTTGGTATGTATATACCTTAAATAAATTCACCATTTTGTTTAAAAAAATATTATAATAATGTGTTTTCATAGTAAAATCTCAAAAACATCATATGGCTCAAAACATCATATGGCCTGTCTTTTACACTTTATATCAAAGTATGTTGTGCACGCTTTCAAATTTTGTCATCAAATGATTCCCATGTAATGCAAAAAATAGAACACACAAAAACTAACAGTAAATTATTGATATATTCATATAGTGCATACGATAATGAAAAAGCCAGAGTTATTTGACTTGTTGTACTGTTCCTTTATTTTTATACCCTCCACCATAGTATGGAGGGTATATTATTATACCCTCCACCATAGTATGGAGGGTATATTATTTTGTTTTTCCGTTTGTAACTCATTGAACTAATCACTTCCGACCCTATAAAGTATATATATTCTTGATCAGCGTAAAATTCTATGACGATATAGCCATGTCCGTCTGTCTGTTGTAGTCACTCTAGCGTCTAAACGAATTGAGATAGATATCCAAAATTCGGTCCACGTTTAGGCATAGCTCCCATATAAGGGTACCCCCAATTTTGCGGTATTTTGGGGGGTTTCATCGCATTTTTCGACCGAATTCGCTGAAATTAGATACTTTGTGTTCTTGTTGGGTAGGAAATCTCTATACTAAAAATTATAAATATAGGTCAATTTTTTCGGGTAGCCCCCATATAAGGGTACCCCCCAATTTTCGGTATTTTAGTGTTCTTGAGCGCGGTTTTCTACCGAATTCGCTGAAATTTGGTACATTGGGTTCTTATTGGGTACCAAATTTCCCCACTAAAAATTATAAATATCGATCTACTTTTTATGGTAGCCCCCATATAAGGGTAACTCCCAATTTCCCGTTTTTTGGGGGGTTTTGATCGGATTTTTTTCCACCGAATTGGCTGTAATTTAGTAATTTGAGTTCTTATTGGGTAGCAAATCTCTCCACAAAAAATTATAAATATAGGTCAATTTTTTCGGGTAGCCCCCATATAAGGGTACCCCCAATTTTCGATATTTTGAGGTTCTTGAGCGCGCTTTTCAACCGAATTCGCTGAAATTTGGTATTTTGTAGTCGTATATGGTAACAAATCTCCCCACCAAAAATTATTAATATTCAACCCTTTTTATAACCCCCTTTTTATATTAAAATAGTTATCTGATTTATTTCGTGTGTTGGGGTTGGGTAGTCGTTACGGGGAATAGTCAATGTTTACCCTACACAGACTATTTAGCCATCTGTTGTAAGCATTCCGCCTTCTAAAGATATTGTTATAAAAAAAAATCAAACATGACTATAATGAAATATATCCGCAGACATTTAGACATCCCCTCAATATAGTGATACCTCCTGAAGGAAAGAATTGAGACAAAAAATTAAAATATTTGGTTCAAAATTGGTATATACCGGTCATTAATTAGGCATAGCCCTCATATAATGATATTCCAAATATTCACTATTTCCTACACTATGTAATCAATATTGGTCCCCCTTTAGGCATAGTCTCATATGCCTTTGTAATCTAAATTACAGTAGTTTGAGGTTTTTATACTCTACCATACGTTATCAGTATCAGTCCACTTTTTGGATCTTACAGATTTTAAGAAAAATCCCCATTAAAAATTGCTGAAATTTGTATTTGTTGTACATAATAATTTACATAAATCGGTTTGTAGAATTATAGGTATATGCCCACTTTTTGGTATGTTCCCTATATTTTCATTGCATGTATCTGTCAGTATAACTATGGTGGAGGGTATCCAAAGTTCGGCCCGGCCGAACTTAACGCTTTTTTACTTGTTTTTACTTAAGTTTAATTTGGTTGACTTAAACTATATTAAGGGCAACATACAATTTTGATAAATAAAAAAATTAACATCAAATATAACACTGTGCGACTCGATGTACAAATTCTGTTTAGTTGGAGTCCCTGGATAACGAAAATGCCATTGGTTTTTCTGGGTAACTTCGAAAATTAATTTCATAACGGTAAATATAGAGAAAAGCGTGGTCTCATAGATTTTCAATTTGAAACGCGAATAACTTATTTACTTTACAACGAATTTATATTAAATAAGCTTTCGAAAATGAGAAAAATCAAAAAAATCGGTTAAAAAATGGACGACTTATACACATTTTTGTATTGATTTTATGCATATTCTCTAAAAGAACTATGGGTCTATCTCGTTTCCTCGTTTCCATATTGTGTTTGTAACAGACAAAAGGAAACGAGATAGACCCATATTTTCTTTAGAGAATATGCATAGATACAATACAAAAATGTGTATAAGTCGTACATTTTTTAACCGATTTTTTGATTTTTCTCATTTGCTAAAGCTTATTTAATTGTCTTTCCCGTAATATAATAAAAATTATATGGCTTGATATCATAATTTCATCGTACAGTCCGAAGAAAAATAAATTTTGTCATTTTATGCGTATTTTTTCACATTTCAGCCACTGTAACTCAGCCAATCCTCAACCGATTTACAAATTATATATCTTGTTTGAAAGGAAAATTCTACTTTTCAAAAGGAAGAAAAAATAGTATATATCTGTTAGAAAGAACTGAAGTTATACGCGTTTCAAAGTGAAAATCTATGAAACCATGTTTTTCTCTACATTTACCGTTATAAAACTAATTTTCGAAGTGACCCAGAAAAACCAAAGGTATTTTCGTGGTTCAGGGACTCCAACTAAATGGAATTGGTACATTAGAACCCCTGAAAAAAAAATTATTTTTGTTTTGTGTCACAGTGTAATTTGTGTTAAATAGTGAAAATGTTTAATAATTATCCATAATTAAACTCATTCGTGACATATTGTATGTATATACAGTAGTGGACATTCGTTTTGACCGCATATGATGTTTTTGAGATTTTACTATGAAAACATTATTATTATATATTTTTTAACAAAATGGTGAATTTATTTAAGGTATCGAATATATTGCATTGGTGTTATCTTTACCTTTCATTCATATGAAATAATCTTCACGTCTTTTTAACGGTAACATTGCCAAATACACCACATACATAAAATTTAAAATTATTTACTTAAGTCTTGAAAAGGGGAAATATCATCCCCGGTTTGACCTCCCGACGTAATCTTACAAAACCCCGACCCACTTGTCTTTTAATTTTATACCCTCTTTTTTTAACGGTAATAATTTGATGTGTTCAACAGTATAATCATACAATTTGGGGACGCAATTTTGAAATATACCAACCGAACGTATAACATTATCCAAATAATCTTAAAATATATGGAAAAAATATACAAAAGTCAGAAATCTTCATAGGCAAAAAGGAATCTAATGATGGTTGGGAATAGTGCGAGTTTGGTCATTGTGGTTTCATATTAGAAGCTATTATTCATCGTGATAAAACATGACAAATTTGGTGAAGAAAAAAATTTGAATTTTAATTAGCCTAAGATTTGTGATCAACAATATTTCAAAGGTGAAAGTATATATTTCGATTTGGGCCATTAATATAAATTAATATGTAAGAAACAACGAACATTCAGTTAATAATGAAGCGTTTCGGGTATAGTACAATATTATTGTGTCATCTGACACTGAGTCTGCTGATCATAAAAAGCGAAGTTATTGCTGCAAGTCGTAAAGATAAAATAATCGTTGCCGGTCGGGCCGTTTTGCAGAATGAAGGAAGTTTTCAAGCCGCTATTATATACAAACAGAATTTGACATGCAGCGGATCACTTCTTAAGAGTCATGTTGTGTTAACATCCGCTTCGTGTGTGCGGAATTTCGATTTATCAAAAGTAAAGGTTCGATCTGGAAGTAACGCCTTCAAAAAAGGTGGACAATTGCGTAGTGTTCAACAAATTGTAATGCATCCGTTGTACCAAAGTGGTGAGCACTCCCATAACATTGCTCTGCTAAAACTTAATAGAACTTTCAATTTAACATCGCCTAATATCGACATGGTTCAGTTGCCTACACCAAAACAGTCGGAGTTACCATCGTCCCTCTTCATATATGGCTGGGGAATATCCAGCTTAAATGTTAATGGATCTCTAAGCAAATATTTGCGTGTCTCCAAATACAAAGTTTATTCCAACACAAAATGCCTGCGATATTTACCCGAAAACGACAAACATAACAACCAACCCCCCTTTTGTGTGGGAGATCGCAGCAAGCATTTCGATATATGCAACGATGACAGTGGGGGACCAGCTGTGGATCAAAACAAGACGCAATACGGCGTGGTTTCACATGGAGGGAAGTGCTTTCCAGAAGATATTATAATTCTTACGAATATAATACCGCACTTGCCTTGGATAAGGGATGTACTTCAATCGTGGAATGAACAACACAATTTCGTATATAAATAAACATAATATAATTTAATACAATACAGAGAACATCATAATAAATAAATAAATCGAACGTTACAATACGATGAGAGTACACATAGTTTTCTTTTGCAATATTATAATTATTTTATATTATACCATTTGCGAAATTGATTTCCGTATTTGTTCTCAATTGAGTTGCTTTCCTTCGGTCCATTTAAGCGTTTGAAATAGTTTGGACATCTTGCTGGACAAAATTTCCACATCGTAAGAGTTTCATCACTTCCGGTCGTAGCAACACGGGTTCCATCCGGACTCCACGTAAGAAATCTCGCCCCACCATCTGGAATTCTAAGTATATCCACGATTCGATCCAGCGAAGACATAACCAATACTTTATAATCATTGCATAGAGCTCCATCTGCAGAAAATATATAAAGGAACAACTAAATAAAATTGTAAACTATATGTATTAGAAATATTATATAAATTACAACAAAAGCTTTTAGTTTTTGTTCACTAACTACAGCAGCGATCAAGATAATTTCTTTATTTTAAAAAAGTAGATTTTTTAACTCATAGCAGTGTGGGCTTTAATTCAAGAAATGTTTACATTGTAAAACGGAATTCAGTTTAAATTTAGCTTTTACAACATAAATTGTGCTTAAAAAATGTTTTTGTACGAATCTTTAAGATTAATAAATTTATATCCGCGATTGAAAGAAACAAGTGAGGGGAGCAGTATTGTCGGACGGGGCCGACTCTACACACAACTACCACGGAACTCGAACTTTCTTCCGATGTTTATTCTGAGCCTGGACAATATTTCGTGATATTTGCACCCTCTTGCCCGATAGAGGCCTCTTTCTTATATAATTGTGGCCTAGAGATCGACTCGAAAAACATAAAAAATTAAGTTCTCGGTCCAGTTCATCCCAAAATTGTTATCTGATCATCACAGACAATTATAGGCGTTGTCCTTGACCAAACTGGAGCATCATATAGCGATCAGCACTATATTTCCGTTTTCTAGTGTGATAATGGGTTACTAAATAATTTAGGAATACGAAAGCACATGTAGTGTAACTCCCACATCCGAGTACATACGACAATATAATTGGTATCAATTTAAAGACCAACCACTCCTCTTGGATATATTATCAACTTCTCGGGTCTATGTCCTTCAGGGGTAAGTATATACGCTGTAGAATACAAATTTTGTCATTTTTCAAATAAAAGTTAGGGTCCATTTGAACCGCAAAATATTGACCAATTTTTATCAAATCTTTATTCTTTTTCCCGATCCCTTCCCCATGTAAAATTTCGCGGTGTTTGGGCCATAATTGCGGCCTCTGTGGCGACCAGAAAACCCGACAAAAATTAAGTATTTCATCCCCTAAATATTAACTGATCTTTGCCCAAAACAATAGGGGACTTCATTGGCCAACACCCATTCTACATGCAAAATTTCGTGAAGATTTGTCCATAACTGTGACATGAATCGTGTTTACAAATTATAATAGACGGACACATATGTCTAGATCGACACATATGCTTTTCTAAGTGCCTGTAAAGGTTTACTATTGGATTCAAGTCCAATTACTGCAATTCATAGATCCATAAGATATTTCGTATATTTCTTCCTGCACGTGTCCAGACCAACTCATATGGCTGTTATCGAATAACCATTTCAACAACTATTTACACCGAAGAATTGGGACTTTTAATGTTTGTGTAATTTAGCTACATATATTGTTCTCCGATCAGTTCTGGTGAATATAAGATTCATCATGCCAACAGAAATTAACCGAAATGATTTGAACTCCCCGAAATACCGAGATTTAGAAATTACCGTTAGATGGGGGCTATTTTAAATTATATCTAATTTGGTTGAAAAAAATGCCGAAGATTTGGGGGGCACCGTTATATATGCACCGAACGTTGACCGATATATTTCATTTAATACCAAACATCATCAAAGCCCTATCTTAAGTATTGCGAGCTCTATCGTGATTTTAACAGTCTGTCTGACATGACGGATGGACATAGCGACATAGATTTTATTCTGATGAAGACTTTATATATATATATATACTTTATGGGATCTAAGTGAATAGCCATCAGTGTTGCAAACGGAATGACAAATTTAATATCCGTTCCACCTTATGGTAGAGCGTATAGAAAGTCAAAGAAACCTGATTAATATGTTGGTTTAATTTTATTTACCTTGACTAGAAGTGCTGACCAATAGCTCTCCTGTGATTTTACTGAACGATATTGAATTGATGGCGAATTTTTTTCCATTTTGTTGGTAATAAGCAACTATTTTCTTGCTCGGCACATGCAGTAAAACAATGGATGCCGGAACATCTTCAGCTGAAATTGTTGTTACGTTTTGGAAAGCAAACATCTAATGATCCTGTTCTACTTACAAATAGCCAAATCTACACCAGTCCATGGGTGCCAGTCGAACACAACGTTCAACTTCCGTCTCGATTTCATGGAAAGGCACTCGGTGCACATATTCCAGTTGTAAATCACAATATTGCCCTCCGCATCACCAGTAGCCAAATAACGCATAGTTGGTGAAAATCGTATAATCGTTATCGGAAGTTGATGTTTTTGTAGTTTTTTGATGGTTGTCAGTTCTGGCACCGATAAAACATATACAGTACCGAATCGAGTACCACAGACTAACTGAGTACCTGTCGTATTCCATTCTATGCACAGCACATCACCATATTTAATAGGGAAGACCTTGCCACAAAGGATTGAAAAATCATCCGTTCGTGCCACATCCCATAATTCCAAAGCTGAAAGGTTAAATGATAGTGGTTATAATATCTGTACAAATTGTTGTTGGTATTTAAAATAATAGATATTCGATGGCGTGAATTTTTTTATAAATAGGCCAAAACTACGAAATACTGTAATGATTATTATAGCACTTACCGGGGAAACTTATACATTTGCAACCAATGGCCAAGAATTCTCCAGATGGACTATATGCCAATGATCTCGGACATTGGATATTAAATGCCATTGTGATATCATCTTTGCTTTGCCAGATTATTACATCTTGCCCAAACGACAATGCAATTTGGCCTTTTGTTGACCAGTCCACTAGATTTTGTTCTACATTTAGAATATATTTGAAAAATTAAGTGGACATTTTACCCTACTGAACCATTTTGCTGGTCATATGAAAAATGGATTATAGGAAAAGGGTATTGTAAATTTAGTACTATTAGGAAAATTGCTGATTATTTTGTGTAAAAATATAGTTGTATTTGAACTTATCTCGATGTTCTTCAAATTATGGAGCATATAGGGATAATGAGTGGGTTTATTTTTGTTTTGGTTATTCCCACACAAAGCTCAGAAATTTGAATCCGGTTTGATTCATCGTAATATTTGATGGTTTACATTGATAAACTCTTTTTGTTGCAAATTTGGTACTTTTTAAACATGGATTAAGTGAAAGTATGCTAATTCTTATATGTTCATAAAAGGTTGCGAGTATATATCTGCCGGCAACAACAACTAATAATTTCCTGTCTATATCGGGTAGTTGTAGTATTACATGGTCTGCCCCATCCGACAAAACTGCTTTGTCTACTTTTTTATAAATTTAGTGCTATCTCGCCCGTAGTTTATGATAATTTATTGTATTAAACTATTCCAATAAATAAAATTTAGAAAATACATCGCATAAGTAAGCAAAGCAATACAGTTGGATGAGGTCACATTGGATGTTGTTAAACATGTATTCTTTATCCGACCATATATATCTATACCATATGCTCATTCGTTGGTTGAAATATGACAAAAATATAGTATTTTTATTTATTTGGTCCCGGAAATATTCATCGATTATTACCACGCGCTATAGATGTCGTCTAGAACCAGAACTACATGAACAGAAACATCTAACAACTTGGTACCATTTTACACTTTCGTTCGTAATCCGATTAGGTTTTTGTTTATATTGTTTATTTACCACAATTAGTATTATAATCCGGCAGATCAAATGTTATGTCCGAATAAGCACAGGGTTTAGCGCGAGGTTTGCATGGCCAGTCTTGCCCTATTTTACCAGGATCTCGTTCTCTGATTCGTATACTAGCCGTTGAAATATTGGATAATATTGCAGGATCTACAAGGCTATATATTCGACCGTCATTCATTTCGTTAATGACATTCATCATTGGTATAAAGGCATTTTCTCTCCAGTAGTTTACATTTGTACACTAACATTGCAATTGTTGACGAAACAAAAATAAATAATTAATTAATATTAATATAAGAACATTGCTGATTTTCAAAATTTGTATTACTAATTGTAGGACATCCCGGGAAGGTTTGCCAATTGCCAGTTTTAGATTCCTTTCGCAGGTAGACAGCAAAAAACGGCGGGGAATGAAACGATCGCCATAGGACAGTGGTATATGCTTGTCAGGCGGTACATTGTTCTGAAAATGCCAAATTATTTATATTTGATTTTGTTATTATTCAGGTTAAAATAAATAAAATCTACGATATACAAGAATAAATACACAAAAAAACTATAGGTTGTATTATAATTTGATTTTTATTATTGGATGGATTTTTCTTAAATACTTTAACCCTTTTGAACCCCGAATTTTTTCCGAGATAGGATATTTGACTTCACTACATCCTTGGATTTGGACGATACACTACCTTCTTTCTGAGGAATAAAAGTAAAATATCAAGAAAAGAAAATATAATTTCCACGAAAAATACTATTTAGGTCCTTTTTTACAAGAATCATAAATAATTTTAAGGATACAAATTGGTATTGAACCCATTGTTCGAAATTTGTTATGCATGTATCATTAAATAATTTTTATTTTTGAAGCTGGTTTTAATTATTCTTGTAGTCTCAGCGCGATATCTAAAATTTCTTGATTTCAATTGTTGTACTCGCGAATATGAGTAACTTGCTGCAATGTAATAAATGAACAGCATACCAGTAATATTCATCGAAAGGACAAAATACTGTATCCATTTCATCCCAATAATAATGAGAAACTGTATGATTGATCGTATTAAAATTTCTAAATATTTATAAGGTCTATGCCGAAATTGCATGCGCAAAAAATGAATGGAAATTATCCGCCTTCTACAAAAGTTGTCAGTACACTTTAGCTACCAGATGGAATTTCGCAAAATACTCCTTGAATGAATGATAACGTTCTGTTCTGATGAGTGCAAAATTTATGTAGGTCTCGATTTTTGGTATAAGAAAAAACAAAATACTTACAAAACAAAACTTTACTTATTTTAACTCAATAATTCGTAACAATTTGTACCATTAAATGAGTGCCAGATGAGAGAGAAATTTTACAAGGTGTTCACTGAGAATGTATAAATTCTTACTGGCCAAATTAAATCAGAACAGATTTGCATGTCTATATTTAATAGACATATTCCATATTTTGGAGAAATTAAGCATTATATATTGTTGGATTATACAATATATCAAATATCTAAAATTGAACCCTAACAAATTGCTTTTTAGTATGGAATTGTTTATACGTTTTGCTGAACATCAATGTTGATCGATAACTTTTGTAAATATTAATATGTGATGAGCAATTTGTATAAGAAAAGTAACTTCGTAATTTTTGTTATCAAAATTTATTTTCCAATTGCGAAAAATATTGGATATACGAGAAGCTGTAATCAGAGAATAATAACTAGTGATAGGTTAATGGTACAAACTTATTACAATTTTTTTCTTGTGGAGCCCTTTTTCTGTGAGTTTTAACCCTTTGTGGCCGAATGTTGCCCACAGGCAACAATATATATATATATATATATATATAATAAAAGCTAGTAACTTAATATTTTTTGGTTTACATATATCAAGTCCTGATTATGGACGACACATATCAAAAGAAAAATCTAAGTTAAGCGCTTTTCAATATAGAGAAAATGTCAAAAATGTGTAAAATTTCTGTATACAGTCCCAATTACTTAAATCGCTTCGTATTCAAATTGGACGAAAGGCTCCCATATTTTTAATCTTGTAAAAATTAGCCTAAAGAGTAATTTCAGTGATTTTTCACTGATATTCCATTTGTTTTTCCATTTCATTGGACTTTTATTTCTCGGAGAGAATGTACTGAATCTCCGGAACGCAGGGATCGGGGATGGTCCGTGAGACGATTTTTTAGGTTTTCAACTGTAAAAAAGGTGTAAACGTCGAAAACCTCATATACCTGTATAAAATATAATAAAAGTAGTAATAAAAGGGAAGAATATATAATATTTTTACATATTTCTGAATATTGCATACACATCGTGATAAAAAATTTTATCACGATTTTTGAGAAGAAAAATTTTAAATTTTATGTGGGGGTCAATGAAGCATATGTAACTTCCATATCGATAATGGAAATAAGTCTTTTGTCAAAAACCTAATGGTTTTGCGTGGGTTTCCGACGCTTCTGGTGTATGTATTATAATTCGGAAATGCATGTCATTTACGTCACTGTTTCTGACGGACCATCTCTGGCAAGGATCTAGCGAAGTCAAATGTTGTTCATATCCTATTTATGATAGTTGCATTAAATCTGCGCACAGAAAATCATTCTATGATCACTGATAAAGGCTCAAAGGATTAAACTAACGAAAACAGATGTTTTTAGTTTGGTTTACAACATTGTGGTAAACTAAACTTCCATGTTCAGTGACTTCACTGTAAAATATGTTTATATGTATATATCGCTCATTTGCTGCAACGCAGGCATAAGTCAAAAAAATCGATTTTGCAGAAAATGCGCTTTAAGTTTTCAATTTACTCACACTTTATATGGGACAGGGAAACTTCCACAGTTTCTCAATTAGAGTGTGTAAGAGAAATTCATATGAACTTCTGACACAACATGAGGTCTATTATAGCGAACAATCGTGCACCATCAACTCGAAAATCAGGTTTTTTCTTTTTTTTGAGTTATGCCTTTCTCGCAGCAAATGAGCGATATGTCTTTATAAGACGTTACACTACAGTTTTAATTAATTTAGTCAAGCAATTCAAACTTTATTATTGCGCCAAATCTTCTGTATGAAGACAACTTCTCTACACACTGTCCTCTTGGATTTTGGGCAATTTGATCATATAAATATTATGATCATAGCCGAAGAATTTAATACGATGCGATAATATTAATACCAACAATATCATTTAGTGATGTTCGGATCATACAGAACAACCAGAAAGCCCAACAAAAATACCCTTATTTACCTGTACCTTGTTTACAAATTATATTGATTCAGCTAGTCAAGATACGACTAAACGACTAAAACCTGGTTCTGGCACCAATATTTCCGTGCGTTACAAACCCTTGGGGTCACAAAAACATCTAAAACTCTCACATCATACTTATGTAGGGTTTGACATATTTGTATAATCTATACACTGGCGATATTGGGAGGAAGGTAGCCGAAAAAAATAAACTTACGATGAAAATTAGTACAAGTCACAAAGCGGCATTTATATACTTATTTATATTGGCAGACGGGAAGTTAGTTTAAAGCAATTCATTTTGTGAAATCATTTCTTCATAGGGCTTCATAAAACTTGGACACGGTCCAAGCAATATTTAGTCGTTCTACACGTTTTCAAACAGCATACAAGCGAACATTTGTTCATAACGTTGTATACTCGCAAAAGGGTTGTGAAATAACACAAAATAATAGTCATGCATTCGAACGCTGGGGTAACCGCAGATGCAAGGTTGAATCACAGTTACGGCCGAATACACGACAGATACAATTCCAAGTGTTCAATGCCGACGAAACCAAAATAGTTGTAGACCTTTTGGGGATGGATCAAATGTACATGCTTCTGGTTCAGCACTCGTCAAATTGATACGAATTAATAAATCAGCAATTGAATTTTTATTCTCAGTCTAGAATTCGCTGTTCATTAGTGAAGTGGTGGGTGGTTACTGTTGAATTTTATTATCAAAGTGATTTTAAGTGCAACCGCAAAGAATGTCAACAAACCCATACACAAAGGACTACATGGAGTTATAATTCTGTCAACAACACAGTGCCAACTAACCGCAGAAACACCCGTCCAATAAATACACTTAATATGGTTGGGATTTTTTAGATCAGCAGTTATCCAGATCCCTTGGGGTTTGAAAATCAAAAAACCTTCTACTGGCCTACTAAGTCCCAACATATTGAGTGTACAACACAATGTGCCAACCACAATCTCGAATAGTCCATCACGCGTTTTCATAAACATACAGAGGTGGTCGCGTTTCTGCGCTAAATTGGAATTTTCATGTGGCATTGGTTTGCCATTAATTCACTAATGCCCTTTAAAATTTCAAATAAAAGCATATTTCATACTTACCGTGGTTATTTCGTTCTCCCATTGATCGCCCCTTTTCTTCACCGAAAATGTAACAGTCTTCATTGCGGAATCATTCCTCATCTTCCCGCACATCACAAAACAGCGCTGTTTAATTTTCTGATTTGTTTAAATATCACAAGATCTTATTATTTGCATTTATTTTTGTGTTGTGTATATACATACATACAAACATACATATGAGTGATAAAATGAATAATCGATTTTTTGCTGTCGCCTTTTCCATCGATTCGTATGATCACCCAAAACTTATGCAAAAAAAAAACTAAATTGTAAACAATGCATAACATGGAGCTTTGGACATTCTCGGTTTTAAAATTTTTTAAAAGTTTTAAAATTTTGTATTTTGATTTAATTCGAATCTACACTAATTCAAGAATGTCCCTATGAAATTTTAAGTGAAAATCTCAACAACTCTGGAAGATATAGTCGATTTATTGTGGTAGCATCAAGTGACGGCAAGAGGGCTTTCAAACTTTAAACGCATTTTTCTACAAGTTTTTGCGTATGGCGGCCACGATAACTCAAAAACTAATAATCCGATCGATTCCAAATTTTGGGACGTTTCTCTGTGAGTGTATAGCTATCGTTTGAACTAGGATAAATCCAATCGGTCAAGATCTTCCTTATTTTTTACTTGGTTTGTGATAAAAAATAGGCGATTTTCCAAAAATATTTTTCAAAGGTCCCCCATTGTTGATTTTTGAGCGAAGCCAATAATCCTAGTTCATACGGGAGCCAGGCATGTACCCTTTCTAACACCTTTGGAATTTTCGGATTCCGATGTTCCAGTGAGGAGTTTATCATGCCCGCCATCAAAAATAAATTTTGTAAATTATTTTTCTCTTCCTTTAAATCTTCAAATACTTATCTGCAAAGTTACAAACCTTGATCTTTAAAATTTAATAATTTGTAATTAAATGCTTATTCTGTTTTCCTGCTGGGTAATTTTTAAAAACATAAAATGTCATATCGAAATTGACAGATGGGATTTGCACTTTGTACCATGAGTATATTTATTGTTGTGACAAAAATGACAGAAAAATTTTGGTTGATTCAAGGTGTATTTAATAAGGTGTAAGTGACAATCATATGGTATCAAACTTTTTTCTTGATTGTTTGTAAAGTAAATTGTCAAAAACATTTTCAATACTACATTTCGATTTCAAAAATGGTCTTTAAATGTAGGCTTTTTTAATAACAAAAATTCAAGAAAACTACATTCATAGCGGCGGACGGAAAGGAAGTCTAGGCATAAATCACTTATAACGTCGTTCGCCGAATGGTCCACATATTTAATGTTATGTGTGGAAATCTATTCATAAGTCCCAGCTACTCATAAAATCGAGGAGATTATGCTTGCCTATATAGGAATGGGACCTTGGTGCTTGTCACAATCCTCGTCGGAGGTTAAATACGCCTATGGAAAGATTTTATACGGTCAACACAATTTCCATGATTTAGTTTTTGGCCGGGGATTTATGTCCTTCAATATTCTTTACGAAGGCAAGATTTGAAGCCACTCCATAGAAAAAATAGATTGTAATTCACAATATAAACAATATCACAAGGAGCCAAGGGCTGCATGTGGGAAACTTAAAATTAACCGCGAACAGGTCTTAACATTATTTTTCACTGACCTAAAACCGCCAATAACCCAAGAATATACAAATTCATTAATTATTCCTCAAAGAATAGTTCTTGACAGAAATAAATTAATAATTGTTTTTGTTTATTTTTGTTTAAAACTTATTGTCAGCATGACAACTTAATTTCTATAACAACAATGTTGTTTTTGTAAAATATTCGTTGTTGTATCTGATGCATACACCTTATTAAATACACCTTGGGTTGATTTTAAAACATTAACAAAATCAACCACATATAAATTCACAACCGCTTCAATAGGGGTATACGTAAGACCATGGTATAATAACAAGAAATAGGTTAATTGTACCTGCTGATTACAATTTTTACTACGACGCCGATATTATTATTTTTTTTTTTTTTTTTGGGAATTTGACTGCACACATTTTTATAAAAAATATATGCATATCAGCTGTTTCTCATGTTTACTATCAAAATCCATTACTGTGAATTGACTTCCATTATGAAAATGTAAGCAACGTGCAAACTTTTGCCATCAGACTTGACCTTATTAATAGATCTTGAGTCCGGCCTTTGTATTGCCCCCAAAAAAAAATGTAATGGAAACTGGAGGGGGTAAAAAATTATGACGCTTCCCCGGTATTTTCAAATATACTTACAGAGTACAGATTAGTATGAAAAATGTGTGTTAAAATTTCGGAACCAGGGAATGTGGTCTATAGGTCTGTTTGAAAAGTGGCTAAACAGAAACCATAAAATTTGGTATGTCTTCGCCAATATGAAAATATAATTTGTTTCTCAAATGAAATATGAGTATATCAAATTGTATATCAATCGGACAGAAAATTCGATTTTAATGACTTAAAATCAACTTTTACCATACATAAGGAAATACGTTTTGTTTTTCATCATAAAAGATTGACGCGAGGCTATACCTAAAACGAGAAAAATATTGAGTTGTCTTTATATGAGGTGCTATGCCTTTATTAGGCATGTAGCGATTTAGCTCAATTTCGATTATGAATTTCATATTTGTTGGGTTTAAACTGACAATTTCGAGTACATATGTAGCATGATGCAATAATAAGGTGATGTATACCAACAAAAAGCTTTGTTTTTGTCTCGATTATCTGTCAAATTTTTCCATATTATATTTCAAATGGTGTGCAGTGTTGCCGCACATTGAATTCAAGTAGAAATTACCCACTTTGACAGTTAATCAAGACATCAGCTGCGCTAAGTGGACTACCTATTCATTGTGCCATGATATGTAGTATCACCCATACTATAGTGGAATACCCCCTTTTATATATAAAAAGAGGTTTATATGGGGACTACCCCTAAAAGGGGGCTAATATTAATAACTTTTGTGAGGGAGACTTGTTACCATATACGGCTATAAAATACTAAATTACAGCGAATTCGGTTAAAAATTGCACTTAAAATCCTCAAAATACAAAAATCGGGGGTATCGTTATAAATATAAAAATAATTACTTGTTGTTTACTATAATTTAAAACTACAAATGTTTTTATGCATTTTTGAACTAATGGGAAGCAATTCCGTTATAAATAATATATATATATATATATATCATTTTAATACTAATCTTATCAGCTAGCATTTGGTTTAAGGATTGGATTTAAAATCCATATTCGAAACGCGCTTTTATATCCGTGGCATAACTATACAAGGTAGTCTCATGCAGTCATATATTTCTTAATAAATTTGCTTTTGACAACATGCAAAATTTAAACGAATATATCTTCCTTTGAAATGAACGAAAATCATGTGTCCAGTGGCAAAAAATGTTGAATCTTTTATGTATATATTAATATTTTTAAGTTCCCTGCCTATAAAACCTATAAATATAAATTGCAACATTCTTAGTTAAATCTTGAAAAAAATTGGTCTGTTCCAGTACTGCAAGAATCTACTACTTTTTACTACTATAACGAATTTTCCTTTATAATTTAAAAAAAAGTTGTAAAATCTAGTAGACTCTTGCAGTACGAGAACAGACAAAATGTGAAGCTTTAGAAAAAATATTTTTTTTTTTGTTGAAAATTTGCCAATCAAAATCCTATGGAATTTATTTTTAATTTTTATTGAAATTGATATATGAATTCCATATTTAGAAGGGTTGCCATTATCAATTTCTCAAATGAGACTACCTTGTATAGTTATACCATGGGTTATCACTTACACCATGATGCAATAATAAGGTGATGTATCAAAACAAAAATCTTTGTTCTTGTCTCGACCATCTGTCAAATTTTTCCTTATAATCAGCCTTATTCTGGATATTCGCTGGGAGATATCTCGCATGTGAAACATTGTTTCGCTTTCACATTCTCGCCTTATTCTGAATGAATAGGGAAAAGCACAAAATGCGAGATGCGGATTCGAGCTTTTCGAAAGCTCGTTGAAGTGGTTGAAAAAAGGATTTGTGTTGCCATATTGTAATTTAAGTTGTAATGTGTGTGGCCATATTGTAATTTAAGTTGCAATGTGTGTTGCCCCATTGTAATTTAATTGTGTAATATTTTTCAATATTTTATTTATTGATTTTTTTATTAAAAATATTTACTTTTTATTGTTATTTAAACTATATAACAATACAAATGTGAAATATCAATAATCCGCTGTATAAATGCTTTGTAATTAAAAGAAATTAATTTAAGGGACCCCCCCCCCCCCCATTCTCAATTTTTTATTTTTAAGATTTTAAATGGACTGGTAAATGAATACCAATGCTTGTTAAGGTTTGTAACTTTGCACATATATATTTGAAGATTTAAAAAGGAAGAAAAATAATTTACAAAAAATTTTTGTTGTTGTTTTGTTGTTGTTTTTTGTGATCAAAGAAAACTCCTTATTTTTGATGGCGGGCATGATAACTCCTCACTGGAACATCGGAATCCGAAAATTCCAACGGTGTTAGAAAGAGTACATGTCTGGCTCTCGTATGAACTAGGATTATTGACTTCGCTCTAAAATTAACAAAATGGCGGACCTTTGAAAAAATATTTTTTGAAAAACGCCGATTTTTTACCAAAAACCACGGAAGTTAAAAAATAAGGAAGATCTTCACCGATTGGCTTTATCCTAGTTCATACGATAGCTATACACTCACAGAGAAACGTGTAAAAATTTGAAATCGATTGGGTTATTAGTTTTTGAGTTATCGTGCCCGCCATTTGCAAAAAAATGTTTAGAGAAAAACGCGTTTAAAGTTTGAGAAGCCCTTCAGCCGTCACTTGATGCTGACACAATAAATCGGTTATATCTTCAAGAGTTCTTGAGATTTTTACTTGAAATTTTGCAGGGACATTCTTGAATTAGTGTAGATTGGAATTAAGTCAACAAAAATTTTGACCCCGAGAATGGGGGGGGGGGGTCCCCTTAAAGTTTAAAAATATGGCATGTGAAACAGCTGTTCATTGTTCACAGAT